CCCAGACCCGGTTACGGACATAGGACCTGTTACAATTCTATGGGACTACACAATACACACTGACAGAACAATCAAAGCCAAACCCCAGATATTGTTATTAGAAACCACATACACAAAAGTGCCTCCTTATTGATATGGCAGTCCTGCTGACTGCAATGTATATTTGAAGATATTTAAAAAGCTGTCAAAATACAACAACCTTGAAATAGAAAACTCAAAAATGTAGCACATGGGAACATCAACAATCCCTGTTGTAGTTGGAGCCCTAGGATTGTTTGGAAAAGATTCCAGTAGACTTGAAGGGATTCCTGGGAGTCCATGCCTCAAAGAGATACAAAAAATTGTTTTGACAAGTACAGCCCACACTTTACGAAGGGCTTTATCTATGTAATTTTTTTTTGTCAGTGGAAAATGTCATGATGCCATTTCTAACCTTAGGTCCCTGGGCGTGACCCAGAAAGAAACGTGTAAACGCCAGAAATCAAAGGAAATTATTAATAATATTAATAATAATAATAATAAATTACAAGAAATTGGCACAAACACCAAACCTAGTTACAGAGATAGGGCTTGTAACAATTTTATGGGACTTTAGAATACATACAGAACAATCAAAACTAATTGCCCAGACATCTTAATTGGACACCGCAAAGATAAAATGTGCCTCCTTATTAACATGGCAGTCCCTGGACTCTGCAATAAATCTTTTAATATCTTCAGAAACTGTCAAAATACAAGGAACTTGAAATCGAAATCTCAAAAATGTGGTAAATAAAACAACAACAATTCCAGTTGGAGTTGGAGCCCTCTATTGAAGGGAAGAGATTTCAATAGATCCATTGAAAGGATACCTGATAGCCCATGCCATAAAGAAATGTAAAAACTTGTTCTCACAAGTACAGCCCACACTTTACGAAGGATTTTATCTATGTTAAATATGGGTGATTTTTTTTTCCAAAACTGCTTAAAACTGGAACATATCATGGTGCCATTGAGGTATTTTTTGTATTTTACTGTAAAAATACATATACTCTGTTAAAATGAAAACATCGAGCCCATTGTGGATCAGATTTAATAATTAATATTACAAGGAACCCCTGGGTTATATAGCAACGGATCGATTAACTGTATAATATATATATATATATATATATATATATATATATATATATATATATATATATATATATATATATATATATATATATATCATCTTCCTAGCTACTATCGTATTCATAAAAAATATAAATACATAAACTCAGATTAATAAACATTTAAACACCTCTATCACAACATTATATGTGTGTGTGTGTATGTATATGTGCATACATGTATATATATAATTATATATACATATATGGATACAAATGTATACATCTATATGTAAATATATGTATATCTATTCTCCACACATACACACCTCTTATATATATATAAAAGGCTTAAACACTAATATTCCATGTCATAATTTATTACATTGGAATCGTAAATACGATCTAATTCATCAGACCTACACATTCAAAAACAAAACAGGAAAAACAAGTCCGGAAATAAAAATAGAATTTAGAGAGAGTGTAAGTGTGAGAGTGTGGGACGGATGTTAGAGCTAAAGAGAGGTGAAACAGACGAGAGAAGGTGGAAGATTAAAACTTAACAGAGAGAAATTTTAGGGAGGTGATATATATATATATAGCTGCCCACACACATACACACACCTAAACATTCAGATAAACAAATATGTTAATTCCAGTATATCCAAATTATCTAAACTAGAAACATAACATCAGATATATACGTTTACAACCACCTTTTTATATTTTATTTATTAAACTCCCACCTCTCCGTAAATAAAATATACTCGTCAATTCTTATTGTAGCAAAGTATATATACATCAATATTTAAGTTATGCAACAATTAGTTCCCAGTGATACCTGACGATGTCTCGGAAGTGTGGTACTGGTGAGGAAAACCATTTATTAGTAATATAAATTATATCTCTGCAATTATTGAATACCGTATACAATTTATTTGGCACCAGTAATCAATCTGCGATAATTTATATAATAGACAATATAAACAAAACAGAAATGGTTAACGATTCTTTACCAACATGTTTCGTGTCCGAGTATACCTTATAAAGGGAACTCTCTGGATATTCATTTTTAATGCACTTTTGTAATTAAATAGAAATTACAAAATAAAATCTCCATATTTACCTTGAAATTTCCCTCTGGGGACCGCAAGCTTTGCCAATGAAAAATGTTCTTTTTGACTTTAATTTTAGTTTGACGTATTTCCTCATTTAGAATTTCATCGGACTATTGTATTGTATTTGCAATTACATATGCGCACGAACGAGTAATGATGAGAAGTCGAATTAACTTTTTTCTTAATTTTATATGTATTTTGGGTATATAAGCTAGCCAAATTCATTTAGAGTCTATTTCTTTTTCTTTCCATCATCATTGTTATTAAATATCCCACATTGTAACAAAAGAAGATCCGCAGATGATGTTCCGAAGGATGAAACACATCACACGGAAACTTCTTTCTCTTTGTCAAATATCTTTTCCTCCAATATATATATATATATATATATATATATATATATATATATATATATATATATATATATATATATATGAAATATTAACAGCCAGACTTGCATCACAAAATAAAAAAAAATTCCTTGACCTAACATCAGAAAACTGAAATGGTCTGATACACAGACCACACACACACACACACACACACACATATATATATATATATATATATATATATAATGAGTGTAACACCAAAATTGTTTAAGCTTTGAACCGTTGTATCTTAGAAAAAATTAAAGATATCTTACTGGAATTCGCCGAGTTTTTTGTAATACTATAGGTTTCTACTTTGAACAATAAGAATGTATTTAAAAATAAGTTTAAATGATGATCTCTATTTCTGTTCCGGCCTACTGATCTTGTTTTCCATTCTACTGCTCCTTTTTAAACTTATTCACCGTCCCCTTGATGGTTCCTGTATAGACTCTGAAGATAGAAGCCAGATTATGAATGTTCCTACAATTACTAAAGGTCTGAGTGATCTTTTTCCTCTCACCATTGCTCTGTTGGGAAGATATAGTGAGGCTGACGCATAACGGTTTTGACCGGCACTCTTTTTAGCTGAATAACTTAAAGAGCTTTTCAGTGATTCTTACGATAAATGTTGTCAAGGTAGATAAACGTCTTATACGAACACCTGGAAAAAGATACTCAGTTTAGTGGTTTTTTGGGGGGTTTTTTTTTAGATATCAAACATTTTATGTTATGGGCACTATTTGGACAATTTTTTTGTTACACCCGGTATATGCATGATTTTAAATTGGAATGTTATTAATTTAGTCATTATTTACATCATTTTCAGGCGGAATAACTTTCCTCATTTTTGTTGTTGCTCCTATCACAATTTTTACATTATTGGTCAATTCATCACCTGTACATCACTTCAGGTAACCTACAGGAAATTTGATACTGAACCTTTTATTAAATCAACGTGAATGTTCTTGCGATTCATGTTCCATATTTAAGTATTTCTTGTTTTGTCATTTTTTAATAATACACAGTTATTGTTGAGTCCAAGTACAAACTACACGACCGATGTTTGAACTCACACTTTTAGTCATTGTTATTGATATGCATATTATATCACAGTCAGTACTCGTGTGAAAAAACTAGCTACAAACTTCCAGCTATGTGAACTGGATTCGAAACCGACAATGGTAGATTAGTAAGGCAGGTATAAATCGAAATGTATGGATTTTCTCAGATTTCCCGAAAACTATACTATATGTTGGCCCAAGGCTTGTGAGTGAAATTGAATAGGCGAATCACTTCGTTAGCTGTCGATCAATTTCTGTGCAAGAAGTCATGCCAGTGTGGGTTTGTTCAAATATTTAGCATGCCTATTGTATAAACTATTGAATCATTTCTAAGCAGGACTTATCTAGTCACCAGTGCAGACTGGCATCTTCGGAAAAGTGTCTTAGTGTGTTTTTCTGTAGAATGATGTCCTGTTTGTGCCATCTATCATGTCTATGGTAGAAACTTCGACGTTGTGTGATAGTTAGCTAGATCAATCACGATTGCAAGTAAGTCTGATCCTCACTAGGTGTCCTATACTTTTGGCTTTTGCGCCACATCTAAGCTACGCTTAGAAAATCAACATCGCGTCGATGATAACAATGTAAAATCAATTTATTTCATCGGTTGAATCTGGAGGCACCTTCGATTAAATCTGCGTAATTCTTTATAATCAGGATACGTCTTCATAGAGACTCGGATATACATTTTATACATTTATTCTACGATGAACATCAGTCATACTTTCCTAGCGAGCGCAGGATAGAGGGGTCGAGTTCAAGTTCCGACCAATGCTGTGTTCGCATTTGCAGAAATAGACTTCGAAAGATATGAATCCAACTTTCTATTAGATAGGGGTTAAGAGAAAGGCAACCTTCCTAGCCTTGATTGACAACTAATCTAGAAGGACATGTCTGAATTCAATTTCGGTTGGGAGTGAGATTTGCAACTCTAATCGTAAAAAAACGTACGCCCTACAGAAAATAAACCGACAATGATTAGGTCGGTGAGGCTGTGATTGTATACTAGATATGGAAATTTACATCACCCCCACACACACACACACACACACACACACACACACATATATATATATATATATATATATATATATATATATATATATATATATATATATATATATAGCGGTTAACCTATGAATTTTAATCCTATTGCATTTTTTGTTTACTTTCTCCTGAAATGAAAACAATCATAATTTCCCCAGTTATTTTCTATATCTAATTTAGTCCTGAATACAGACAAATGTCAAAAAGATTCAATACATAGGTTATGTCTCCAATATTTTCACAAAACCTTTCTTTACGACGACAACATGGTAAAAAAAATAACTTATTTGTCTTTATATTTATTAGTTTCTTCGAAGCTCTGGTTCTCGTAACATCACCGAAGTTAAGCAACTTCGAGCCAGATCAGTACTTAAATGGATGACCGCTTGAGAATACAAGATGGAACTCCTTTCCTTGATAACTATGATCTTCAAATTTTCAAGTGTCATTTCAACTGGCATCTTCTGATATCTTGATCTTGTTTCCCGTCCTTGTTTTTTTCCTCTCCTCAAACACGCCTCTTTATTCTTATACGCAACCCTCTGCAACCCCTTGCGTGCTAGTGGCACTCCTTCCTTGCTTGGGGTGAATTGTAAGAAAAAAAATTGTAAGCTTGGATATGCGTGAGTCTAATGAATAATCGAGTACCAATTTATGTCGGATTCCTTATATTCACTTATGCTAAAATACACTTGGGTAAATTATGAAGTCGCCTCTGCTCCGCAACCCCAACTACAGGATCATTAGCAGGAATCGTATCAGTAAATCATTATCTCCCAAATATTCTTACAGTCTAAAAATGTATTCCGTCTTTACAATAAAGGTAGATAAGCAGTAAAAAAAAAAGAAATCAATTAATCAAATCTCCAGTAATCTAACCTTCTTTCTAACCATAAAAACACAACCAGCTGCGTTATATACAGGTTATATATATATATATATATATATATATATATATATATATATATATATATATATGGTCCAGGTTAGGACCAAGGAAGAACAACACGAAGAAATAACGAAGGTACATTACACAAAATAATAATACAAGATGGAGAAGGTGTTAGTATGACTGTCAGTCTGGTTTGGAGTGAACTACTATCGGCTCGACTCGATTCGACCCTCTCTATTGAGAGACGTAGTATACATAATGTTAGGAAGAGTTCATTCTTTAGTTTATAGGACCCAAGATATATATATATATATATATATATATATATATATGTATATACAAAATATTTACTGTCAGATTTACTGCATCATCATAATAAAAAAATTCTTCACCTAACATTAGAATACTTAAATGGATTTATATAAAGATCATATATATATATATATATATATATATATATATATATATATATACCGTGTGTAACCCGAAATTGTTTAAGCTTTGAACCGTTGCATCTAAGAAGAGATTAAAGATATCTTACTGGAATTCTCCGAGGATTTTGTAACACTATTGGATTCTACATTGAAAATTAAGAATGTATTTAACTATAAGTTTAAATGATGATCTCTTTTGTTGTTGTTGCCTCCTGATTCAGTTTTTCTCCCTACTGCTCCCTCTTTTTAAACTCATTCACCGTTCTCTTGGTGATTCTTGTATGGACTTTGTGGATGAAAGCCAGACTATGAATGATAGAAAACATCGTTTGATATTTCTTTGATACTAGGACATTTGGGACGGATTGAAATCACCAAAAATCAAGCAAATACAACCCGGAAAGTGCGACACTGGAATCTGAAGGCGCATTGGAATAGTTAAGCAGAGTATTAAGAAAAAACAAATTCATTAGAAACAAAGAAATGTATATTGAATTGTTACGTGATATCAATTCAATATATGGATGTGAATGAAGAACAATCTCCTCGAAGAAGAAATAGAGACGTGTTCTAAAGGAGGAGAATATCAGTTACCAAGCAAGTGAGCAAAGACGAAGATTTAGGGTAAATTCAAACAAAAAGAAGACTTAGACTTGACATCAGAAAGAGATACTTGAAATTTCTAAAGCACAATGAGGGAAGTCGGCTTGGATAATTTGATACTCAGAGGATATAATGAAGACATGTAGGACAGAGGTTTACATACCATAACATACCTAAAGAGCTGGTGTAAATGGGGAGGGTTTATGAAAAATTGCAAAACGACAAAATCTGCTAAGAGATACAAATATATAGGAAATTGTGAAGAACCCTTATCGCTACACTCTTGCGCCATGGCACACAGAAAAAGACGTTAAAATAACTTCAAATTTTAAAATCTGAAATTCACAGGACAGATAGAAGGCAAGACGGATAGAGGAAAACAACTCATAATCTACTTAGCGATCTTCAGGATGGGGGAACCGTGTTTAGGATAAATAAATAAAAAATGTGAATTTTATTAAAAGCTAAAAAGGACAGTAAACAGTGGAGAGCGCTGACCACCTACGTCATGTAGGGACACAGCCCATAAAGAAAATGTAGTATTTTAGCAGAAAACGGCTATTGTGACACTGAAATCCGAAGCGCATTGGAATTGCAAAATATTCTTTCTGAAAGCTGAATAAATATTAATGAAACAAAAATGTCGTTTGAAACAATAGTAGGTTTACCGCACTGCCATGTAATATCGGCCTTTTCATATGGCAGGGAATGCTGGGTAATCTGATCACAAATGAAAAAGATACTTAATGCCAGAGTAACGTCGTTCTTAAAAGCATACCGAGAACACCGTGAAGTAAACATGTGAGCAACGACTTAGTAGGATAAATGAAAAAAAAATGACCTAATTTAATCAGAAAGAGACACTACTCACAGGATGTACTGAAGACAAAAGAAATAGAGAAAAGCAGTGAGTAGCCTATCTAAATAAATTATTTACATTATTCGGACTATTGTCCTCATCTTTGTCGCCATATTTATCACAAAGTTTCGGCCGTTGTACGCTCTGGCCTTCTTCAGGTGGTTGGAATTTCGAACTGAACCCTTTATTTCGCTCACTGGGGTAGACTGTTCTAGTTCCACGTGCCATGTTTAAAGGATGTCAGTTATCAGTTATCTCCTGCTAATTTCCCTCTGAAAGTTCTCCACTGCCTTAACCGGGTATTGAACTCACACGCTTTGGGTCCTGTCTAACCAACGCTATTATCCACTTTGACATATGTCCTTGAGGACATCTGGGTATGAATTTCTGGGTATTATAAACCTAATGTCTTCAGCAACCATTTTTACGAGTGTTCATATTGCAATTTTGCTGTTATCATTGCATGTTTTTACCAGAGCTCATATTGCAACTTTGTTGTTATCATTGTTTTCTCTGGCACTCCTTATTACCGGTTCCCATAGTGTATTTATTTCTATGCTTGGTCGGCTCAGGGGATTTTGGTAGCCTAGCATATGTGCTGATTCCTTAAATTTACGACTTTTCCAATGGTGTTCCTTGTCTATGATATCAACATGATCCCACAGAGGGCGGAGCGTACAACGGCCGAAACGTTGTGATAAATATGGCGAGAAAGATGATGACAATAGTCCGAATAATGTAAATAATGTACATAATACCTCATCTCAGAAATATAGACAGACTATCTAAAAAGCTTTTAAAAATGGTTGGCAAAACAGGGATTAGGAGAGCTAGCAAAAAATATCTTACTAAGATCTACAAAGGAAATTGAGGATACCCATGAATGCCTACGTACTGAAGGGGCACTCTGAAAAGAAGAAGAAGAAGAAGAAGAAGAAGAAGAAGAAGAAGAAGAAGTGATCCAAATGTCTCTTCAATAAAACATTAACGTTTGGCGTAGGATTATGAATATTGTAATTGATCCCTTAATAATCAAAGATATTTCAAGAAATCGTTATGCATAGGTATTAATTAATAGTTATATATTTAAGTTGTGGTCGTAATAAAGAAGTACTTTTTTTTACATAGAAAAACGTATTTAATTCAGAATTGTGAACTATTATGAGTGTTTAATTAGTAAGTATTTAACATCACAGCCTAACATGCGCAAGTGAAATGTTTGCGTGGTCGTCTATAACGATTTTTACGAGCGCCTCAATAACGGCAAACGCGTTCAGAAAACTTTCATTACAGATAGAATTTACTTCAAGGAACGATCAATTAGCTTATCTTCATACCCCGCCTCGTGGCGCCAAGGGTGGCGGTTCCGCCATAGCCACCGAAACCGTGAGATCACCCCTGGTCGGCGGCTGATGAAGACAGGGTATCGCACGTGCTAACACACGTTGTATGTTGTTAAAAATTTAATATTATTAATTTTAATTAGTATGTATTTGAACTTAATATTATTAACGTCACTTATTTTTCATCTCTTATATATATATATATATATATATATATATATATATATATATATATATATATATATATGTATGTATGTATGTATGTATGTATGTATGTATGTGTGTGTGGTGAACACTCTCCCGTCGTAAGCAGCTTAGTTCTTAGGAAAAGACAGCGCAGACCACAGCACATATGATTTAATTATAGTGGTGAAGGCTTTGTGCAGAACCAACCACACATTTTGAAGGGCCGAATGGAGACCTGGTGCTCTCAAACGAACCTCGACAGTTTTTGAATTTAGAGCTGTCCTTCTTTTAGGCCAGATGCCATCCAAGGTTATAGAACCCTGCTATTTATCCATAGCTGGAGGGGAGAAGAAGATGATTAATACCTTTCCCAAGTGTATTAGCACGTAAGTGAATGCAATGGATTCCTCAGTCCGAGCTGCTATCCACTACTCCACCGTGCTTACGCACGCACCCCCCACCCCCCACATATATATATATATATATATATATATATATATATATATATATATATATATATATATATATAAAACCAACGAAAATATATACAAAGTCTCTGCCGAAATACTATAGCCATTTTGAATATCTCAAGATTCTTTTCCGCAACTATAGTAAAACATATGTAACGAACTTAGAACCCATTACGACACATGGGGAAATTCGGCTGGAATTTAAATTTTTGGGGCCTGTATATTATGCGAACTCGCATTCACAATGCCTGCAGTGTTTATGGAAAAAAAAATCACATCAGTGAAAAGTTCGTACAGTGCCGAGGTATCTCTACGCTTCCTGGCAGTTCTCAAAGATAAAATCACCGTTGATAGAATTTTAGACGGTGGCTGAGATTAAGGAGAATATGACAGTGCCGCTGCTGACTATCCCGATAGATAGCAGACTCTTACAAATAAAAAAGGTGGAAAGGAAGCTGTAACAATTCTGCGAGGCTGAAATTGATTAAAGAGTTATATCTCTTGGTAATTTATTTTTCGTTAATAGCAAATATCAGGATACTTTCAGTTTTAATTCCATATAATTCCCGGGGCATAAATATTTAACAAACAGAATTTGGATTGAATAATAA